TTGCGTCAAATCCCACCAGTCCAATACGAGGAACGGGAAATACCTTTTATCATTTCAATACGAGTGACGATAGATTTCATCAGTCCATGATGAACTCACTACGATATTTGGAAGGTCGGAGAGCCAATGATGAATTCCATCAGATTATAGACCCGCTACAGTAGTTGGAAAGTTGGAGAGCAATCGTGTTTTGCAAGTCGGCAGAATCAAAATGATATACCGAGAGCGATCAATGCAAGTATACATGTTCAATGCAGACCTTTAATACTTTGAAGGGTGCCGAACGATGCTGAATCATGTGAAGGATTCATAGCTCGGGAACAAATAGCATCGAGTATTTTGGTTTTATTCACACACCATCTAACATGAACGACTGACATTTCAGGTACACGGACAGGGATGATTTAATATCATTTCCGTTACTTGTTGTACTCTGATACGGTAGGGAATATTGTACACAGTTATCTCGCGACATGTGAAGCGCTATTCACCACCACATTACACAACTGAAAGCCACCACCAAATACACCACGGCCTGTAATATCCCATGAGTACGATATCATCCACGTGTTGTGATTGATGGACGCTTAGCCAGCGTCGCGCTTGTAATTCAACGCAGTTCGTGTGACCAAAAATTTCTGGTGGGATTTGTATATCGCACCACTTGGCGAGCCTATCCCGATGTGGATCGATAGACTAGAGGTGGCTTGAGGAGAAAAGTTTTCTAAAGGACGTAGCGTTTCGGTGTATTGGTTGCTCTGTCGGCAGCAAATAAAATTCAAAACACTAGCAGGAGCGCTAAAGGACACATTCAGTCTTGAAACTTCCAGACACCACATTTGGCCCAATGTGAGCTCACTGCAAAACTATTATAGTCTATAGAGTAGAGAGATCTGAACCGTGACCTAATAAGATCGTGAGCTTCTGCCTCGAGCTAGTGAGGTAGCGGGGTGATGCAGCGACCTACCCAGAGGTTAATCGCAAGTACAAATGCTTCTAGTCTATTGTCGCTCTCAGAATCATTTTGAGTCGAGTACAACAATATACGGGCATTTCTACGTACATTTGAGATTAGAATATGTATGTTCAAACCTTCACCCATAGTGTTGAAGTTTGAGTTTCACTCATTTGAATAAATCCCAACGTGATTTTCCGGTAGTAACATGACCAGTGAGTATTGCAAAGCATGTACGCGGCTGCAGCATAATAGACTCTAGAGGTCGAGGCAAAAAAAAAAATGAGTGCAGAGAAAAATGTGTTTTAGCGGGGCGATACCGGTCTGCAGGAGATGAAACTGACAAAAAAAACCCCCCAATGGCGACTCCGCAAGCCAGAGCGCGTAAGTGAGCTTTGCGTCTCAAGCGTTGCGCTTGGCCTGTTGGATTAAGCAATGAAGGGTATTCCCGTAGACACTTGCTGTTTGTAAGCCTTATATCCGTCGAAAAATTCCATCAAGTATTCCTCCTCAATCTCAATCCGATCTACGAAGAACTTATACGACGCCAGGGCGTACAACACAGTGCTCTGCGATGAAAAGTGTGCTAAACAGCTCAATAATCATCCATGTATTGAAGAGATTGGACACTGTAAATAAGTGGCACTCAGGGAATGAGATTATAAGTATTGCATTTGCAAAAATGATAGGTGAGGGATTATTGGCGTTTACAATGGAATGTGATTGAATTTTACAGCAAACGTCCCGTCATATTTTTAGTGCGTTCAGACAAGAGCAACTGCGGCACATACATATAAACTGGCAATGTGAATTAAACATACCACCGGGTTGCAAAGCAGGACTTGTGTACCCACAGACCACCAGAACCAACCGCAGTATCCCGGATGACGTGAGAATCTGAAAGTAGGTACAGAAAGAAATTTGCGTCGAGATAACTGGCGAGTTTCACGTGTATAAATCAAACTAGGATAAAAAAAATAGCTCTTAAGAAAATTAAATTTATCCAAACACATGGTGTTTCTGATATATATATATATACATATATATATATACATATACCTGTACACTCCATCGGTAACGAGCACGTGCGTGGCTCGTTTATTGTCCTGAACGATGTGTGTGAAGTTTGATCCGGCGGTCCACATTGCAGTAGTACGAAGGGTTTGGCCGGCCGCGACCATCAATAAACCTAAGAGTAGCGTTCCCGAAATCACATTAAAGTACCCACAACGAAATACAGTCTTCAAAAGTTGATCAAGATGCCCCTCCGCTTCGGAACAGCAATGGTTTCCTGTGCTCTGGAGCCCAGTGTGTCTGAAGCAATACATAAGCAAATGCGCCCGGATAAGTCCGCAAAATTATACAGTGAACTTTTCACGGATTGACAACAGAACAATAGTACAGCAGGCTTATACTCCAAATGCCTCTACACAAACAGAGTGCGTGAATTTATTCCATATATGCGAGCGCCAACACTCGATTGTGAGCACCAGACAGAACCTCAATGCGAAACACACTATCAGCTTAAATATACCTAGGTATCGTATCCATGCACTCTTAAGACCGGGAAAGAAGTACACCTCTACCAAATACTCTGTCCAGCCAACAGCCATCGCGATACCATACTCTTTGCTCTGGTTGATGAGAAATGCTGCGCCAGGAAGAAGCAAGGGGGAATTGACTACATCAACTACAGTACAATACTCTGCCAAACATCCGCATACACCCGTACACTTACAATGGGAATGGAAAAATGTAGCGTGCAGATGCTATACAAATTTAAAAGAAGTATATCCCCATACATAAATAGTTACGTACATACAACCATACATACATGCATGCATATATACGTATATCCATTCACAAAACAAATATGAAATAATAATTAATACATATACATATATATATATATATATATATATACATATACATACATATATATATATATATATATATATATATNTATATAATATATAGATATATATACTAATAT